CCAGCCTCACCCACTTCAGGTGTAAGTACCCCAAAACCATGCAGAGACGGCGAGGGGGGGGTCTTTCCTCCCAAATCCCACTCCTAAACCTTGTGCCACAATAAATCCTTCCCTCAGCAACCGTCCCGCCTGTGGTTGCTGCCCTCCCCCGCCCCCCCAGCAAATGCAGAGGCATCCAGCTGCACAAAGGAAGTTTATTGGTGAGACTCCGCTGCTTCACAAGGACTCAGGCATCGAGGCGGCACAGGGGGTTGTCGTAGACCATCTGTAGGTTGACACGGTGCCCCACCAGCTCCCGGATGTTGTTGATGCCATACTTGATCATGGTGGGGCTGGAAGAGGATTGGGGTGGGAGGGGGGGTTCAGAAAGGCACGTCCCAGCACTGGGGCTCCCTCTGCTCCCTCCTGACTCACCGCTCCAGTGAGAGCCCCCAGGCGATGACAGAGACGCTCTCGGGCAGCCCCATGGGTAAGAGCAGCTCAGGACGGAAAACGCCTGAGTTCCCCACCTCCACCCACTTCTTCAACCCTATGGAATGAGAAAGGTGGGGCCCCCACCCCATAAGGGTGGTGGTGAGATGGTGACCCCCACCACCGGAGCACCCCAGAGTTGTCTATGGCCTGCGCATACTTTGTCGAAGGTCACAGGCCAGGTCCTGCTCCCCAGGGGTTTCCCCTTGCCCCAAGCCTCATAGGTGAGAGGCCAAGCACCCCAAAAACACACCGCAGAGCTCCCCCACCCCTCTCAGGGTCCCCGCACCCTCATGGTAGCTGAAGATCTCCATGCTGGGTTCCGTGTAGGGGTTATAGGCTGGCTTGAAACGCAGCTTGCTGATGCCTGAGGGCAAGATAACAGTGAGGGAGTGCTTCATCCCCCTGTCCAGCCGCCCCCTTTGCTCTCCCCATACCTAGCTTGGTGAAGAACTGCTGAAGGACACCCATCAGGTGGCCCAAGGTGAGCCCACGGTCAGCCACCACCCCCTCCACCTGGTGGAACTCGGCGAGGTGCGTGGCGTCCAGGCTTTCGTTGCGGAAGACCCGGTCGATGGAGAAGTATTTGACAGGGGTGAACTTACCCTGGAATAGAGGGGGATGTTTGGGAAGGGGAGGTGGAAGGAGGTGAGAAATCGGGAGGGGGAGGTGGTGTTAAGCAGCCCCTCCCTGCGCTCCCCTGTCCTTGCTTCACCTGGCGAGCCAGGTGGTACAGCGCACGGGCGCTGGCAGACGTGGTGTGCGTGCGCAGCAGGTTCTTCCTTGCTTCCTCCACCTTCCACTCGTACTTGTAGCTGGTTGGGGAGGGGGGGGGGGGGGCTCAGATCAACCTAGGAGCCCCCAACCCAGCCTTTAAAAGCCCCCACCCCATCCCAAAGACGAGAGGCCTCTGCTCACCCCTGTGAACCGTAGCCTCCCTGCGAGTGAACCTTCTTCACCTTGGCCATGTAGCTGGCGGGCAGCTCAGGAGCTTCAGCAGGGTCTGGGGGGGGGGGACGGACATGTGGGGATTTGACACTGTGTGTGTGTGACCCCCACCCCCCAAAGCTCTGCACCCACCCTGCAGGAAGAAGGTATCATGCTGGTCTCGGGCTGGGTGCTGCTGGGGTTGGAAGAGAGCATCAAAATTCCAGAAGGAGCTCTCCACAAAGTTGTCTGTGGGCATCTCTGTGAACCTGGCAGTCTGAGGTGTCACTGGGAGGGGAGTGAGGGGGGGGGGGGGGAAGAAGCGCTTCCCCCCCCCCTCCACCCAACCACCTTTCTTGAGCGTTTCTCCCCCCGCTCACCCCATCTCTAGGAAGATCTGGCGGAGCTGCGAGCGCACTTTGAGCAGGGGGTGCAGGTGGCCGCAGGCGGGCGGCAGCCCCAGTGCTGAGAAGTTGTAAGCTTTGAAGGGGAGCTTCTTCCAGGAGCCTCTGCAGGGATGTGTGAGGAGGGGGTCACGGGTTGGGGGGGGGGGGGGGGTTTGGGGGTCACGGAGAGGCCTTTGCTCCCCCCCCCGGACTCACGTGGCAATCATTTCTGGTGTCAGGTCGGTCTCCTGCCGCACTACAGCCGTGCTGAAGGCGCTGCCCTTGCGGATCCAGTAGGATTTGAGAGTGCTGAAGAGGACGCGGGGTTGAAGAGGATGAAGAGGTGCCCCTGATTGTTTCCCCCCCCCCCCCCCCAAAGTCCAGCTCTGCCCCCATCCCCACGCACACTTCTAGCAGCAGTTTCCTTCTCTTCAGATCCGTGCGCTCGCGCTCAGTCAGAGAGTCACCATTGCCTTCCTGCACCTGCCGCAGGCTGCTCTGCACCACGTCCTGCACTGCGCCCACCTGCAGCCCCCCCAGGTGAGTCGGAGCCCACCGCCCAGTGGGGAGGGAGGGGGGCAGGAGGAGGACGGGGGGGGGGAGGGAGAGCACTCACGGCACGGAAAATTCGGGGGCCGCCGGGTGCCGCCTTGTCGAGGCGCAGCCATTTGTTGGCCATAGCCTTGCTGAAGCCCACCTGAGCACCGGGCAGCTTCTGTGGGGTGAAGGGGAGAGCGGTGAGGGCCGTGGGAGATGCGCTGTGCTCCCGAAGCCCCCCCGCCCCCCCTTTCCCCTCCCCATCGCAGCGCTAACCATGGCGTCGCTTTGGGGCAGCCCTTCGCTGGGGACGCTGTGGAAGAGCCGCACTTCGGGGCTGCCGTCCCGCAGCACTTCTTCACCCTCGGCGCTCAGTTCCCAGCGTGTGGTCGCACGTGTCTCTGCCTCGATCACCTGCGTGGCGGCACCGGGGATCAGACACGGAAATCGTAGCGCCGGCACCGCAGCACCGATTTCGGGGCAGGGATCAGGCACCAGGATGCGACGTTAGGATCGAGCACCGGCAGCGGCACCGGCGCTGACCGCACTCCCCGTCCTCCTCCCCCGCGGGCCCCGCACCTCCCCGAGCGCCTGCAGGCTCTTGACGGCTCCCACGAGCGTCTGATGGTCGAGACCGAGCGCGGCGGCCGCCTCCAGGCTGCACAGGCCGCCCTCGGGACCCGGCGGCGTCCGCTCCAAACGCTGCAGGAGCAGCTCGGCCACGCTGGGCGACATCGCGGCTGCCGGAAATGATACCGATGTGAACCGGAAGTGTTCCTTTGCAGATCTGCTGCTAAGGGCGGCGCCATCTTGAGTGCGGCGGGAGGAGCCTCGCGCCGCGCTGTGGAGAGAAAAGAGGCCGCAGGGCGATGCGAGGGGACTGTGACGTAATGAGAGCGAGGAGTGACGTCATGGGGAGCCGGGCTTCTATCCCGAGGTTCCCGTTCCCCCCTTGCAGTCAGGGGTTCCCGGGCCTCTAGCCCTGACAACAGCCCGATGACAGCCGCACGTTGCCATGACAACAGCCCCGTTTCGGGCTGTCACGTTACCGTGGCTACGCCTAAGCCCCCCCTCCCAGCACGCAGAGAGAATCGCCGGGTCTTTAACGCCCCTTCGTTAAAGCCGCAACGTGACGTCATGAGGGCGCATGACATCACTGCTGCGTACGACGTCACCAGATGCTATGACATCATGGGATTTTACGACGCTACTGCTACATCATTGATCCGCATCAGGTCCCCGCGCGGCCCCCGGCCCACCCCGCGGTGTCCCTATGGGCAGCCCGACCCCTCCTGTCAGCCCACCCCCCCCCAGGCCACGTGATCGCTGCCCCACGTGATCGCGCCGTTGCCCCGCGCTGAGGGCGCGCGCGAGAGGTTGGGGGGGGGGGGGGGGGGGGGGGCGTCTCCCTCCGAACGCGTGGTCGCTCCCGATTGGCCGCCTCGTTCAGCCAATAGGAAGCGGCCATCTGGGACGCAAACGTTCGGGGGCGCCGCCGCCGCCGGCCAGCGGGCGGGCGGCCAATGGAAGCGGGCGCAGCGCGGGGTCGGTCCAATGGGGTGGCGAAGGAGGCGGGACAAAGGGTTGCGAGCGGATAAAAGGGGGTCGCTGCCGCCGCCCCCTCCGCAGTGCCGGGCGCCGCCGGGCTGGGAGGGAGTGTGTGAGAATAGCTGGGCTGTGGGACCGCCGCCATGAGCCGCCTCTGCCTCCTGCTCGGTGCCCTCCTGGCGGTGACGGCGGCCGGGCCCGCCCAGTTCTTCCGGGAGGAGTTCTCGGATGGAGGTGAGGGAGGTGGGAGGGGGGGGGGGGGAGGAG